TTAAATTTTTTTAGTATATTACTTGTGTGGTGTAGAAGAGAATTATTTATGTAGAGATACTGCTTGCAAACCAATGATGTAAGATGATGTCATGGGGTAGGACTGGATAAGTCTGACTTCTTCCTACTCCATTCAAGCATGTACTAGGTATAAGCAAATTGATATTGGATTAGCATTTGTTGGATATGTGTAAAATTATGTGTGTTGACATATCAACTGTCTTTACATGCTTGAAAGAATAAATCAAATCAAATCATATTAAAGCTGACATCTCTTCTGCCATGTGCTACTTCAAAGGTCTCCTATTATGCAAGATCCACTTTTTGATCATATTAACACCTTTACACAGCTCTCCAGCATGTGTAGACACAAACCAAATGTGAGAGATGTCCTCCCGCTTCCTTTCTCCCTTTTCCTACTGTGTAGATACGTGTATGTGATGAGCCATTCAGAATTCGTTCCCCCCTTTTTGCCTAAGCAATGGAAAGAGTTGATAATTGTACCTTTTTGTAAGCCAGGGAAAGACCCCAGTTTGGCAGAGAGATATAGACCGATAGCTTTAACATCACAGGTAGGAAAAGTTATGGAAAAAAATAATTAATTTAAGTTTAATGTACTATTTAGAAACAAAAGGAATATTGAATGATTATCAAAGTGGTTTCAGATAAATATAGATTTTTCTTTATGTTTAGAACATGAAATTAAGAAGGCTCAAATTAATAAAGTGTATTGACTGTGTTCTTTGATGTCGAAAAGGCATACAATATTCTTTGGGAGGAAGGATTGCTTATCAAGCTACATCACATAGGGATGAAGTGAAGAATGCATAGATGGGTGAAAATTTTGTTAAATGGAAGGGTAATATCAGTACCAATAGGACAGAGGTTTAGTGATAGTTATTTGGTAGAAAATGGAATACCTCAAGGTAGTATAGTAAGTCCAGGATTGTTTTCTATATTGATAAATTATATATTTACAAAAATGATAGTTAGGTGGAAACAGATAATTCACTGTGGTGACCCCTAACGGGAACAGCCGAAAGGAGAGAAGAAGATACAGTATATTTATCTACATGAGATGGCGGTGGCGCTAACAGATGCAGCGGCCCCTCTCTCTCAGAGTTTTGTGCCTAAAAATGTGTGTTCTAGTGTGTTTGCATTTGTCGTGTTTATGTTCTGGTGAGCGTAGTTCAACATCTACGCTGCGCTCAAGATACAGTCACCACTGCCTTATGGATATAGGGAATAAGTCAAAACATTTCAACTTGGAGCAGCAAGTAACAGAGAAACTTTGAGGCCTGGGGCTTCTCCGCTGGATTCCTACATCACCAGACATGCCGGTTACATCACCCCCTGAGAGGAGGTGTTGGAAGCGGTGTGAACGAAAGCAGAAGTGGGGCAAACATGGAGGTCATTCTCTGCTCCATAAACAAG